AAATGGGAAAAAAGAAAGAAAAAGAAGGGGGAGGGAAGTATTTATTTGTCTTAATCTCTTTCAGACATATTTCCCGTTCTAGGAATAATTTCCCCCATCATTCCTGATTCATGCGACTGCTGTTTTATTTTATATTCACTAAAAGGCAAGGGCAAATGGACACCCGCACACTATGCAAAAGGTCTAAATGCCAAAAATGTAGAAATACATCATAGCACACATTGTTCCTAAAAATAATTGCTTCATGAAACTGTGGATGGTTTTTTTCAGTCTCAGTAATTTTGCCTTGGAGCTTGGCTATGAGAGTTCATGACATTCACAATAGATAGTCAGTGCAAGACCGCAGGAACAGATTTACCAGAATAAATATATATTCATTTTAGTATATTCTCCTCCATAATGAACAGGCATTCCTATTACACTTGTAATGGATGCTTTCTCAACTCCTACTGGCAGGACTAATATTCTGGAGGAAAGAGACAAGCTAGTGAGGCAAACTTGCGGATACAGAAGTAGGATGGAATAGCAGTAGTGTAGTTATATAAATAGAGGAATTCTCCCCATTGTCTTGCACAAGCAGCATAATATTTATCTGAGAAAATACTCTCCAGCAGTTAAAGAGTCTAATTCTGACATCTCTTCAGTTTTGCATGGGCTCTGCCGATGGTTCTGAGTTACTAGTATGCCAGTGACTGTACTAGATTCTTCAGAATCAAGTCAAAATCTTGTGACTGGGGCTGATGTGAAGAAATAGGCTAATTTAAAACTTGTTGCAATGTGATTTTTCTTCAAAAATACCATATTCCCTACATATAAATTGAGGCAGTGAGATTTTGCAGTGATGGGAGCTAGCTTAAAACACTTAAGCAGACCAAGATAGACAATTGCTTAGTAAGATTTTGTATTGCCTTCAGTCCAATGCCTTTCCTTTTAAGTACACTCCAGTGAATGGTACTTCACGGACTGGTATGAATAACCAAAGCAGAATGTTGCAGAAATAGCGTAGATATACACACAAAGTAGAAGGATGGAGAGGCAGAAGACCTGTATTTATTAGCAACTCTGTTACGGTATGTGTTATGTGTTAAGCGAATCTGCCTTGGCTTTGAGGAGCAAAACTCCTTTGAAAGCCGGAGTTGAGAGCAAAGCTTGGATACTTAGAACCTCTGAATATCAGATTAGTTGTTTCTGTGCCTCATTTTTCTTCCTACAAAATGGAGATAAACCCAGCTTTTGATCTATATTTTTGTAAACACCATGTAAAGTGCTGACGGTTATTTGATATAATTCATAGTTCATGATGCATAGACCAAATTGATATCTTGTGGCCTGTAAAAAATACTTCACACGTTATGTGTATCTGAATTTTACATGCTACTTAGTCTGCTGAACAAGTTGTTTGTACTCTGATCTTGATACTGCTTTTTCTTCAAACCTTTCTTGAATCGTTAACATCCCTCCATTTTGTTAAAATAAAGCAATGCAAACAGACATGAAATCATATAATCTGAAAAGAAACAGTATTCTTTTGGAATCTAACAACCAGATAAATATTTCAGCGCTAGTAACCATTCATTAAGGTCATAACTTGCCTTTGAATCAGGTATTTTGATGCAATCAGTGTGGATGCCAGGAGGAAAAACCCTTTAAGTCAAAGAGACTTGCACATGTGCTTAAATTTAAGCACAACCTGAAGTGCTTAATGCATAGGACGGAGCTAATGCCTCTGGCCCTAAACATCAAACATTTCAAGTAGATGCATCAGTGATAATAGAAGTACAAGATCTGCTTCCCTGCTCTCACCACTGCTTCTAATGTACTCTGACATCTTGGGAAACAAGACCAAATGGACAAAACAGAGGGTCTACCTGTTAAGAAATGTCTCTGTTTTCCTTTTTTCTGTTACCATTTGTAGCATACAGGAGCCCTCAGTAAACTCCCATGAAAGCGCTTAACTCCCATAAAATCATATCTCTGAAGGTTAGACTAAAGGAGCACTAATGAAGAAAATGCTGTTGAGGCAACAGGACATGGTCAGTTTTTACTTAGCCTGATGCTACTGTTGTTTTCTTTAACACACTCAGCAATATACCTACTAATTAGCCTCCATTAGCAGATAGTGAGAACTTGTAAATACTCCTCTAGTGCTTTAATTAACTAAGAGTGTTTACATATTCTTTCTTTCTTTTTCGTTCTTTTAAAGAAAGACATTTATCTCTGCTTGGCATACATTTCTTCAGCAAATTTCCATACCCAACAATTTGCCACATGCAGGTATTAGCAACTTGCTGTGAAATCACCAGATGGATTTCCGCTTCCTTGAAGTTGCCATACCACTGGCAGCACTGGTTTGCTATTTTGCACCTGCATGGAGTTGGCTCTAGTTTAACTACCTGGAAGGTGTTGCTTCAGACTGCCTGAAGAGCAAAGGGTGCCCGTTTCGAGATTAAAGCACCTCTGAATGAGTTTTGGTTTAATGGCAGATACTTCTGACTGACTGGGCTAGGTAGCTTTGTGTTGGCCCAGGGTGCCGGAGGTCAAAAGCCTTCCAAATGTGCAAGGCCTGGTTACACTTATCTTCTGCTGCAGTAAGGGAATGTACATCACTATTTTCTGTAATTATTATTGGTTTGGACTAAGTTTGCCCTGATGTAGAGAATAAATAGAAGACTACAGACATTTGAAAATGCACAGGCACAGCCATCTGAAAAGGTAAATTGCAATGTTTGTATGGATTGTGCCATATTGTCAATGTATTTTTCCAAATATTTGGGTTATATTTTTTTGTTGTTGTTGCAGTTTTGAAACCTTGAACAAACTCCATGTCTTTAATATCTCAATTTATGAATTTGGCCCTGAATCTTTTCACTTTTTACGTCAAAAGTTGCTACATCTCTTTGGTTCTAATTTTCCTGCGTTGCTACATTATCTTTTATCATCAGATGTTCTGTTATAGAAATCTTCTGCTCAATTTGACTTATATTTGGAGAATCTTCAGTTTAATTTCTCATTCTTTATGTCTGGCCCTAAGGTGATCCTTCTCTCTGATTGTTTCACCAGTTGTATGTTTAATACAATCACAGCACTAAGGTCCATCAAAATTGAGTTTTACTTAGGTAAAATACTTTGAAAATTGAATTTATTCCTTTTGGAGTTGAGTATTTTGATTTTTTTAAAACTTTGTTAGTAATTTGAGCCCCAGCAAAAAATGTAACCCTGGAAGTATATTTCATAGGCAGGAAATGTGTCTGCCTCCTCCTTTATTTAGTTTTTCTTCTTTCTTTCAGCCTCATAAAAATTGCAGATCCTTTGGGATCTTCAGTCACGTTTTGATTATGCCTCGGGTTAACTACTTCAGCTCAGTTTTTGGTGGGCTTCAAAAAGTAGTGTTCACAAACATTGAGTTGTGAGCTTTCACCTGTCAGATGTTCAGGATGTCCAGAATGTAAAGGTATTTCAGTTTGACTATAAAGCACCAACAAGAATGTTGCCAGATCACCGGTTCAAAATGCTGCAGCTAACCTGTCTGATTTTGGCAGAAGCAAATGAGGGACTGATGACAAGATTTGCTCCCTGGTAAGCGGGTAGGAAAGGCAGGGAAAGGAGGTGATGAGGCAGGGTAGGGATGGGGAAAGCAAACCATGAAAGGTTACGGGACTGGTGGGTCTGGAAGAAAATGCCTGTCCTTGAGTGCTTACAAAGTGCATTTGTGGGTTTTGCCACCAGTGTCATATTTGTTCAAGTTTGCATCGCAAGTATTTAGGAGGATGGGGAAGAGACCAAATACCTTTGACTTACACTCTGCTGCCCTACAGCCTGTAGACTCAAGTTTGGCGAGAAGGAGTATGCACTGGCTTGTGGTTTTAATGAGGCACATAAACATCCTGGGATAAAAATATGATGGGGTGGTGTCCCCTGAATATTTTAATGTTGGAATAAATAGTCCTGCTGCTGTAGCTGTTCTGGGACAGCTGGAGCTTGAGGAACAAGTGGGTACAGGCTGGAGCATGCAAAAAATTCAGACTTGTGCCCTCAGTTTTCCAGCAGATCTTATAGGGCATCTGTGCTGCAGGCTTGCATTTCTCAAGTGTCCACATTCCTCTAAAGTGGAATGAAATATTAGGCATGCAACTGATACTTTGGAAAGCACTTTCTTCTTATATCTCCTTCTGGTGCGTAGTAACAAAGAGATTAACAAAGTTTGTAGGGGCATGTGCTCCTATTACTATTATGTGTAAACAAACCAAAGGCCTTTCAGAGGAGTGGTTGGGAAAAGGCTGTGAATTATGTGGTGCATTAATTCCAGGAAACTGTTGTATCCAATCTGAGGTTAATACTCATAGCCTGCTTCATTTAGCTATTATAACATGGCTATTATTTAATTATTGTTGGGTTTTGTTTCTATACCAGGAACTTCTTTTCTAATGTAGAGGATTTTGAATGAAATACATCTGAATTTGTCTGCAAACTATTTGAGTAGAATACTCTGAAGGTAATATGTTCCAAACAAAGCCCTTTTCATAAGAAAAAAGAAGCAAAATGTAGAGAGGTGAAGATGATAGAAAGATTTTCCACCCCTTTCCCCTTTTCATATCTCGTCCAAAACACTGTCATAGAATCAATGTCAGTTTGGGAAGCAAAAGTAATTATTTTTTTCCCGGTCATTCTGTCCTGTCCCCCATCCTTCCCCCTCCCTTGGCTCCTGAATTCAAAACGGTAAATACCTGCCTGAATTTTGTCCCTAAACATAGCTGTGTTTCAGTCTTCCCACCAAACCCAGATATACCCTTTGTCATGGGAGCATGCCTTTCAGTGTATATTGGAAGCAAGATGGAGATAGTGCTTGTTAGAAGAAGCCAAAGGCAAAAAAATATCCAGTTGGTGGCTGACCGTGCCTTGCAGACGAGTCCTTAAGCATTGATGGGTTTCTAGGTATTACAGTAAATGCACCTAGCATTTGTCTCACGCGCTGTTGTTAAAACCTGGTGTTTCTTTTCCAGGTGTCTTGTTTTCGCTGGTAGTCGTGATGTATGTCATCTGGGTCCAGGCGATGGCGGATCTGGAAAACTACACAAACATGAAAAAAATGGATTGCCCAGACTTTGCTGTTTACGTACGATATGGCTGGTCTTTTATGCTGGCACTCAGACTAGTCATGCACTGCCGAAGGGAATACAGGAATCCTAGTGAAACTTCATGACAGTTGTAAACTGGAACACAATTTTATACATTATTATCATTATGGCAGTCCTAAGTATGCAGGCAGACTTCTGGAAGTTCTTAGGTTACTTGTTTAAGGGTAAAGGACACAAAACTCGATACAGGAAGAAACTACCTTTAGTCCCAACTAGTTGTTTTTAATTCTTTAGGAAGTACCCCCATGGTTCTCCATACTGTACTATTAGCAGCATTTTTGCAGTTCTGGAAACAGAGGAAGGCAAACATTTTCTGCAACCAAAAGCCCAACATACAGTGGGCCAAATCAACATTTTATACCCTTGTCTTTTAACATTTACTTTGCGCTTCTGCTTGTGGAGAATGGTACAAGGTGGAGGAGAAAACAAACATTCAAACAGAGTAATTCTATCTACCTCCTCTCCTGTTTTCCACTGCTTGCTTTAGCTTTAATACAAGCCAACACGTCTGCACTTTATAAAAACAGAGTGCACTTGTTCATGCAGCATCCATGGGAAGAGGATGAGAGAGAAGACCATTGCTGTGAACAGCGACCTGGTGCTAGTCCGTACATGTAAAAGTTTAACTGCTTCTGTTACACGTTTTTCTCTTCTGTAAGCATTTGAAATCTGTATACTTCTCTATGCTGAAATCCATGTTTGTTGCGTGATTCTGTAAGCCCACATGCCTCAGTTAAATCACTAGCTGAAGTTATGCCAAAATTGTACTTTGAATTACAGTATTAATATTTTAACCAAGTTTTAAACCTTTTATTCTTGAGTGGAATAATTGGCTCTTCCAACAAACATTTTTCTGGTTGTGTAAAGCGACTTTTTTATTAAAAAAAAAGGTTTATTATGAAGACAATATCTAGGACATGAAAATGTATGTTTTATGTAGCTTTTATTTTCCCAAATATTAAAAATCGGCATTATAGACCAAATCCAACTTGCCTACTAGTCATCCCAGGGAAAGCAATGAGACTAGCGAAGACAGCAGGGGAGATGGATTTGGTTCTGTATTGTAGAAGCGGCTGGGTCTCTCTGTATGTGCATATGTGTGTGTGTGTGTGCATATGTTTGGAAGATGGGTGAGGATGGGACTGTATGCATGGTATGGAAAAGATGGGGTGGAGTTTTAACAATGGGGCAACTTTGTCTGGCATTGGGCCCAACCTGAAATTAAATCCATCTGAGCGTGTGTTGGTTTTCACTTTGTAACCCAATGCAGAATAGTTTGGGACTGATGGGGGAAAAATAAAGACTGCATGTTGGTTTCTTCTTGTTCATAATACTTAATTCCACAGCTGTTACGAATACTGAAAGCATCACTAAAAGGCAGGAAAGTAGTGCCCACCTAGAAGATGTGGTGGGCCAGATTGGATGTTGCTTCCATTTCGGGAGCTTTTGTGATTGGAAGCTTTCCAGCCTTCTCTGCTACTTATTTATTTTTCCATCATCAAGATTAGCTTTATACATTATAGAACAGGAAGACAACAAGGGCGGGGGGTAGGGGAGCTGCGACTATGAGGTTTGGAATAATTACCAAATCACAAAAATATTTTTATTGGCAGCTAACATGGTGGTTTTAATTACTGTGTCAGAGAGTATGATGGGTGAATTTTAACCAAATATTCATAAGCATATATATGAACTCCATATAAATGATAGCCATCCGGAGAGCATTAGGGTTACACCATAATGCCCTTGGTTAGTCAGGAAATGCTGAAATTAACCCTGCCCCTTGTGCATATGGTATTATATTCCTGCCCTTAATTACACAATCACATACTGTTTCTCAAATAATACAATCTGTTGGTATTTACCCCCTTTACAGTCTGAGATATTCACTGGTAATTGTGGAGGTAAATTCAATAATGAAGAGTTATTTGACTAGGTACCCCTCCCAAATCCTGTCTGCTTCTCTGCAGGGGACAGCCCTTCTCCACAAGAGCTTAGAGGGGGCAATATGCTTGAGCCACTTTCTTGCAACTTTTAGAAGCTGGAGGAATTGAGAGGTGCCTCAGAGCTGGACTTCTTCCAGCAAGCCTAACCATGTGTGCAGCAGCAACTAATAAACTCTGCAAGGAATGAGCCAAAGGCTCCCGTGGAGCCCTTAATTCAGCCCATGTGCATCTTCGGAACTCTCTCCATTATGCAGCTAAATTAGCTACACTCCTGTGTGCGAGGCGGCCTCTCTTGGAGACAACCCTGCGGGTTGGACTGCGAGCGTAATGGCCATTGAAGATCCAAGGTGTTTCTGAGGGTTTCCTTAGAAACTTCAGGATGCTTTTCTGGCGTCAGTAGCAATTGCTTGAGTACTCATAAATTCTTCACTCGAACTCACACTTCTGGCAATGGCCTGTAGCTCTATCCATTTGCTTTAATTGGATATGACTTTCTTCTCCTAACGGCAGAATTGAGTCAGGTTCCTTCTGAAATGGTGGGAACAGGTTGCTTGCTCCTTCCAAAACGTGTAGGTAGCTGATCATATGATGTGTGAGAAGTAGGTGCTGCAGACCAGGGAACGGTGTTGAGGGTGGTGGGGAGGCATTTCTGTCTGGTTGTTACCTAAAAGCACAGTCTAACTCTTGTTCTTCTGATTTCATTAAAGAACTATGCGAGGGGGAATGGGTTTGTAAGAACTCGGGGAAGACAGGCCAGCTAAGGAGACTCACTCCGTGGCATGCTTCCAGATATGCTTTTGTCTAGAAAATCCTTGGCGGCGATGCAGGGCTTTTCATGATTAGAGCTGAGTAAAAGATTGTAAAGGGGATTAAATACCATAATCAAAATATTCTGTGAAATTGGTCAAAGAACTGTGTTCCTCACAAGCATATAGGGTCTGGGGTTTTTTATTTTTAAATGCCTGCCTGTCTTAACAGCCTGTGGTCATATTGGAAGAAAAGAGTTTTGGTTTGGTTTTTTTTTTTTAAGTAACGTGTTTGGAAAAGTGATGGTAAAAGGAACAGGTAGATAAGAAGCATCTTCTGATTCCTTTCCATCTGTCACTCACCCGCTTGTCCAGCGCAAACATGGCGAGGACCATGACTGCCCATGAAGGAGACAGTGAGAAGACGAGGAGATGGAGGTAAGAAAGGAGGGCGAGCGTCCCTCTGCGCTGCCCTCTGCCAGCCCGCTGTGCAGCTGTTGTGGATTCCCGGGGGACGTGCTGACACAGTGTGGCAAAGGCAGCTGCAGACAAAAACAGTCTGAAAAGGATTTGCTCCGGGTTTATCCTTGTTACTCATTGGGGCAGCTGCTGGAAGTTTCACTGGAACTGACCTTCATGAAATATGTGGCTGTTTATTGACATTTATGTTAGTGAGGTAAAGCAATGTTCTCCTTTGAGGAAATGCAAAATAAAGCCTGCTCTGTGTCTCTGCAGGGTGCCTAGCTGCTGCAACTGAGTCCGGACTCTATAGCGTGCTAGTAAACTGCTGGTTAGGACGATCGTAAGTCATGTCGGTATTGCTGTGTCCCCATTCTTGCAAAAACCTAGCTGGCTGCAAAGTGTGTTGTGCTTATTATCTTTTAGGAAGTCATATTGGACCTCTTCACCGAGCTGTTTACCTTCTGATGCAGCAGCTGGGTTTTCCTCTTGGCTCTCCTGTTGCTATCACTACTTTCGGCAATGTCATTTCCAGGCAGTGAAGGCTAGATAAAGTATGTTCACATGAAATTCTGCTGTGTTACCTTAGAGTAAATCCGGACTGATGCTGCTGAAGTCAGTGGAGATACTGAAATTGAAAACAGAAATCGGTCACCTATAATCAAAACTGACAGAAGGGATGAAGAGTCCGAAGTATTTACAGTGCCACTTTTCCCTCCATGTCTCTTACTCACATTACCAGTTTAAACTGGTCTATCTTTCCAGTCCACAGTGTGGCTCATCTACCCGGGAGACATGTTGGCAATAGGGATCAGGAGAGCCATTTGACATGAGGGTAAGAAGGAATGCAGGGCTGGCGGCATCTCCTACATTAGACACTTCCAAAATCTGCACCTAGATCCCAGGGAGCCCAGAGGGGCCTCAGGGAGTGCTTCAAGGCTCTAAATTTTGCTGTGAGGATAAGGGGAGGGCCTGGAGCAGAAGTCACCCCATGCTATTTGCCATAGATCTGTTCCATATCTGTTCCTAAAAACTGCCAAGGATGCATTTAGTACAAACTGGGGGAAGTCCCTGGGCAGGGAATGTGCCTTTCACACCGGGAGGCAGCCACTCTGAACTGGGCTGCAGCAAGGGGATGGTCTCAGCGGTGGTACTTCACATTTGGCACACCCTTCCCCCCTGCCCTGTGCCCTGGTGCCCAAGGAGATGTTCTCTGAAATGGCTTGCACGTGATTCAGGTTTTTAAAAGTTTAAGAAAAAGATCTTAAATTAACACATCTTTAAGATGGAAACACATTTAAAACAGAAAGAAACCCAGAAAGATAATGAAAAACGTTCTCCCCTCCTTTTCTATACCACATCAGATTGACTTATCCTCTGTTATGTGGCTTTACTTTGAAACAGATCACTCTCATTGCAACACGTTTAATGCTGCCAGCCACCACATGGTTATTTGGCAGCTATTTAAAGCTCAGATCATATTACTCTGTCGCAGTGCTAGGCACCCGTGTTCCAACTGGTATACAACTGATCTAAAGAGAAATCAGCTTCAGGTTTTGTTCTCTGAAATTAAATGTGACGGCATGATCTCTATGATCCTTTTTTTTCCCCTTTTCTCCTTTTTTTTTTTTTTTTTCATATGCATTATTACTTTTTGGAACAGCATTTTGCTAGCACCACAAGGGAAATTCAGTAGGTTGTCAGCCTGATATAGTGTATTATCAGACGCGTTAGCTTTTCCTACCTCTTACATTTGCTTAAGAGCTTATAAACCACAGAGAATAAAACGTGCTAAATAGAATGAAATGACCTGTCAAGGGTAGATATAGTATTTGTGAATGACTTAAAAAAATTCCACCAGCTACAAGCACTCCAGTCTCGCTGGCTGTCTGCGCTATCTTGAAATTTGGCCTC